CATTGCATACGAAAAAACGACGCTGAGCGGAGTTCAGTTGATAGTAATACGTTGTCAACAATATATATGCCATTTTATAGTAATTAAATTAAATAGGTTTTATATATTTTCTTTAATAATATTTGTTTAATATAATATCGATTTTCCCTACGTTTTACTCGATTTTCCAATGTTTTATCCCGAGTTTTTACATTTGCTGGGAAAATTCCTGAAAAAATCGAAAAATAATTTTTTTTGACCTCCCCACATCGATTTCCTTTCAGAAAAGGCACTACACTTTGAAATCCGAGTATGTCTTCTGGTAAAAAAGTTGTAAACAGATTAAAAAAATAATAATAAACATCTTTGTAAAATCATAAGCTTCTTCGTTGCACTCAGAATCTAAAAAATCATAATATTTGTTTTTTATTTTTTTCGAGTTTCAGATATTTCTTACTCCTACTCCTAATATTTTTATCTTTTTTCCAATAAAAATATATATGTATTGCTGATATACGCGTAAATGTGTAATCAACCGGAGTAATTACCTAATTCTTTTTATAAGAAAGTCATTTTTTTTTTTTTTAATTATTTGTTTGAAAAAAGGTTCAGACTATCGAACAACATAATTTATATCCCGGAAACATTTCGTTAAATTTAACTAAATTTAGTCTTCTGGTAGAAAATTTGTTGACATATAAAAAAATTTTTGTTTAGCCAAAAGCTTATTCGTTCCATTCAGAATCTAAAATACAAATAAAAAAAAAATTAAAAAATGATCTACCGCAATTATGTTGTGTATTGACGTTTCGTAAAAATAATGAACTAAAATAAAAGAAACATGTTTCAAGTATTGAAATCAGTATCGCATTATTATCTATCTTAAAAACGACATCGATATTAAAAATAAAACTTTAATTTATAGTTTTGTATTATTTTGCGAACACACTTCCTAAAACTAAAATCTAGTTCCGCTTATGAATTTACTGCAAATGTAGGTTTGTAAATCAAATATTCGAAATTCGTTTGACAATGAAGTTTGTATTGTTATTATTATTTAAATTATTTTATCATCTATAAAAGCTTATGAGGATAAATTTTTACGTAATACCGACTTAAAAAATGGTCATAATATAAGAGATACACACTAAAGATTTTTTTCTCTTCTGTAAAAAGTTGTTTTCGACTTGAGTATTTTCACTTAAAAACCGTCCGATTATTAATTTAATATCGTACAATAAAGTTTATCTTAAACGACGCTATTATCAACCAATAATATAATGTTATAATGTTATGATTTCATCACGTTTTACTTAACGCGTAATAATTATTTACGTTTCGGGGATTGGCATTTTAAACGCGTCCATCTGTAGACGCTAACAGTATAACCGCGAAATGAAACCACGATTTTGTAAATATCAAATTATACCACCCCTCCCCCTTCCTTTCCACAGTGTATCAGTCATTTGTCATGATTTAACAAAATAAAAAATCAGTGTTATACCATAGAAAAATGAGTAAGTAATAAAACCTGACTTCGATATTTTGTCGAACCCCGGTTATCTGATTTCCGTTATTGTCATCTCGTTATTTTTTTATTTTTTGACGAATTTTGCACAAGATTGTGTCTGCTATACATAAATTCATAAATAATTAATATTGTATGCATGTTTTTCTCGGTACCTGTTTACATACAAAGCATCTCCCTCTGGACTAAAAGAGCTCAAACTCAGTAGTTATATTTTAATATTAATTTCACTATGTTGTTGCATTAGGATGTTGGTTTTTAAATTTTGTACAACCCCAAAATACTTTCAAATAAAGCGAAGTGGTTGAAATTTCGTATACACCTAGTGTTATTATAAAAGATATGCATGATGGATTTAATTTTTAACCCCTTCCTAAAAAATGCTCAGATTTTCTATTTGGACAGGAAATTCCGAGTTTTACATATTCATAAAAATAAAAATACAGTTACATCATGTGTATCGTTGTCAAGGTTGTAACTTTAGAAGGATTGAACTCTAAAGTCGCGACCTTACCATTTATTTGTACATCGACGTAAATCACAAGAACTCCATTGCCTGTTTTGATAAAACTTGTTTTGTTCAATTCCTATTAGATAACGATTGCTTTATCATTAGGAGAATAGGGGTAGTACACAGAATATTAAGGGAAGGAGTATACGAGTTACATACATTTCGAGTGAATAGAAATCATAAACAAATACGAAATCCAGATACTAGTTTGGATCAATTATTATGTGAAAAATAAAGGAGGAAAAAAAAACACGAAATATTGTAACGACGACAGTCGGCCGAAAGAAAATTCCACCTTCAGTGACTGGTACTTGCGCGTATGTGTGAGCGTTGTTTGTTTTTTTCTCCAAACGAAAGCACGGTCGGGAATCTATAGAAAAACGTTTCGAACATTTTAGGAGAGTGCGCGCACCGCGAAGAAGCCGTCGGTCGAGGTACGTCGTGAAAGTTTTCGCGGGAATTTCAGTCGACCGAAAAATCGAAGGGCCGGAGCCGCGAGCGCGGTACGTCGCCTGGTGTCGTCCTCCGACCCGAAGATTCCGCGGCGGCCGAGGCCGCAGTGTGGAGGGGGGGAGGGGTAAGGGTGACGGTAGGGGCGGTCGAGTCTCGATTTGGCGGACGCGCGCCCGCGGCGGAATGTGAAAATACCCCGGTCGCGGTCACCCGGAGTATAAATATACGAATAATGTCGTCTGCGTGTATGCGTATTTACAATATACCTACCCAACTTATATACCGCGGTCGCGGTATCCGAAACAATGCGCACCCGCGCGACCCGGCGGTGGCGCGTCCGCGGTCAAGGTCTCTCTCTATACAAACGGGTGGGAGCGGAGAGAGGGGCGCGGAAAGTCTGCGGTTCTCGACCGTTCGCCCGGTCTGGAAGGAGGCACGCGGCATAATAATATAATATAACAATATCATATACGGCCGAAAATCACGATTTTTTTTTTTCTTTTTTTTTTGTCGCTCATATTCGTCGAGGAAACTATGCACGCACGACCCGAAACGGGACGAATCGACCCGTTTCCGCGTACGACACACACGCGCACGCACACACAATATATCCGTAGTATGTTATTATAATATATCCTACTGTCGCGTCCCCGCGTAACCCCGTCCGAAGAAATTTCTTGCTTTTTTCTCCCCTTCTCCTTCACGCCCCCCCACCCTCCTCCGCCTCCGTCCCCGGCCACGATTTCCTCCTAATACGGCCCCCGAAATATTTCCAAAAGCGATACATCATAAGATTATAACAATGTGACGTGTTGCGAAGTGCCGGCGAGTGGCAGCGCCTGCTCGTCCGCCGAATACGAAAATCGCCAGACCGCCGCACGCTCTTGTCGGGGCCATCAAGCGCGGGCACCGCAACTAACCGTCTCGTAGCCGCGCGGAATTAATTCGGTTTGAAAGCCGCGAAAACCGGACGGAAATCGAGTGTCGTCCGTAACCGCACACGACTTACCGTTCGGAAACCGCATATTTCCCGTAAGCCGTTCACGCGAACTTTTTTTCCCGTATATTGTTTAGTGGGTGTACATTCGTTTATACCGTTCTGAACCGTACATGTACACATTCGATGGACAGGTCAACACGAATATCGTTCGTTATTTATCCTCATTTGTACTTCAATTATACGGCGCGTTTCCTTCCCTACCACCCCCGTCCATCTTCCGTAAATATAGGCATTCCTATTGATTGGCGAACTTGTATCGTACGCGTGATTATTGAAAAGGTACGTTACTACATTATTATTAATTCAGAATATTCCCACGGTATCTCTACCTGTTGTATAAGAGCTGACAAGTGCAGGGGTCGCGTCAGGTCAACAGCCCGAAATGTGTAAAAATGTTCGTAAAAATTGTTTCAGAAATCCTAAACAAGACTCGAACGAATCGTCCCATCTTGGAATTTGGACTTATGCGGGTATAAAAACGTCAATAAAAAAAAGAGCTGACACAGGGGATATATGTGCCATTGTTATAGGTGAGGAAGAGTTGGGATACATAAAGTTATTAAATTTATATCTATAATCAACGATGAACCGTTGCTAACAAAAAACGATTCGGACTGATGTTCGGTTATATATACACGTTTTAAGAAATCGTAATATTTACGATTTTCGTCAAAAATGGCTAAAATGTTTTCAAACTTTTACCACATCTAGAAAAGGTAATTATAATTTTTCTTTCGATATTTCAAATCTTTACGAATATTTTAAAATTAATTATAATAAAAAATAAAATTAAAATAATAATAATAAAAATAACAATTTTCGTAAATTTATTGTTCTATTCTTTCTACATTTTTTTTTCAGTTTTGCTCAATTATTATGAAAAATATTAAAGAAATCAAAAAAAAAAAACAAATTACTTAAAAATCAACTTAATTGAAAGTCTTATGTCGTTTTCAATGGCGTAAATTTTCGTAATTTTCATTTTTCGTCTTTTCCGATTTTTTTCCAATCTTTCTAAAAGAACTTCGAAAATAAAAACATATCCGCTCATGCATCAATAAGATAAAATTCACACTCGGAAAATGTGCTGTATTTATACATACGAGCAATATTTCTAATAGAAATGTTGCTTACAGTCGGATAAAAATAAAACACACATATATTTAGCAAAACCAATAGATATCTCACTACGCTCTAAATCTAAAATAGGAGAAGATGTGACATTTAATCATGTGTTGTCGGGTATAATTGATAGAAGCTAGGTTAGCAAGACGAGTGGGGTTTTATGTGACGAGACAATTCCATTGAACTTGAAGGTATATTCTACAATATCGCAAAGAGATCGAGTGTATGATTTGGAGTGTTGGGCGATAGTTATAAAAATAGACCGGAGAATGTATGTATCACAGATTCTAATGATTAGAATAAATAATAAAATAATAAAGCAAAAAAAAAAATTATTAAAATTGTTAATATTCGTAAATAAACACACAAATAAAAAATGTATACATGAAAAATAAATAAATAATTAAATCAATCAATGCGTCACCTGGGGTATTATGATAAGTGTATTATAATTAAATTTTCGAATTAAATATTCATTAGGTATATCACAGTCAAAATGTAAAACGCGAATAATACACTTATCATAATACTCTGGGCGACGCATTGATTGATTGATTTATTTTATTTTTATTTATGTATTCATTTGCTATATTTATTTACTCAATTTGCTTAGAATAAATCACGAATTCGGTTTCTACCCATTTACCGAAAGTCGATAAAAATTAAACCGGGGTTACAGGTTATGACATTGCAATTATTTTCTAATTTAAGCTGGGTTTGAATTTTAATGCATTCTTATCAAAAATCACCGTCCATTTTTTGATATGATATAAAATATAGTTATTGTTGGAGTCTATATACGGCATGTGTATAAAACTACATTCGATATTGCTGAGACTACGTATACAAATCTAATTTAGCGAGCTTTCTTGACGATATAGTTTATTTCTAGTACCTTAAAAATGAAACCCGGTTTTAATCCGTATCCCGAACCCGTTCAAACATAGTCTAATGCACAAGTCTAATACGCGATGACGCGATGACAAATGCTCTCGGCAATACAATCGTCTTGCACACATTTTTGTCGAGGTCAGAGAGGAAAATATAATTCAATCGATCGAACGAAGGCTGTCGCCATCCAACATCCCCTCCCCAACTCCTTCTCCGCCCGAAATGATTTATAGCAGACGTTTTCTCCTCCTTCCGGCGGCGTCGGCGAACACTCTAATTTTATATTCGAAACGATCTTTACGGCGGTGGCGGAATATATCGATCGTTGAATAATAATATTATGGTATACCGACCGCGTATATTATTTGCAACGAAAACCGCCCGACGCGCGCAGTATCAACGCATACGAGAAACGATTCTGAGCGGAGTTGCGCGTGTTTTCAAAGGCCGTTGAAAGCGCGCTTTTCGGATCTCGTCGGGGAAGTCCGAGCCGCATTCGGGGCCGACGGTGGCGCACGTTCGCGGCCGGAAATACGTCCGACCGTCGCGTCGTCGTCGACCGCCTCCTCGTTCCGAGGCGTACACAGCCAATAATACTCGTCGGGTACATTTATACGGCGACCCACTCGAAACGGCCAAAGACCGTTATAAAACATTGCCCCCGGAACCATAATAATATATTATTATACACACGCGTATACCCGTCGTAAAAAACATGTTCCCCGTCCGCGTTATGTCGTCGTCGTCGTCGCGTTATAATATATTTCCTACGGTTTTCGTCCCTCCCCCCTCTCCGATTCCATCCCCATTTTTCGCGGTGGGGTAGGGAATTGAGGGCGATTGTGGATGAGCGGTTCTCGTATAAATCGCGTTCCGATGGCCGGCCCGGGTGTGCGTGAATAATGCTCCGTCGTAAATATCCGGCAATCAACGCGAACGGAAAAATAATAAATCGTCGCCGGTGCCCCGCGCACTATAAATTCTATAATAACGTCCACATACGCGACTCGGTATTATTTTTAATAGAAATCCGAATATGTGCGTCCTCGTTTCGATACGATATTGTCGAGGTTCCGGAACGTATTAACGACGAGATTCGGTTGAACCGCCCGGAATACGTTGACGGTAAACAAATGATTGCGATGCACGAGCGTTTATTAGTTATGGTGGATTTGCGGATAGTTTTCCGAATAGCGAACTGTGGGTAGGCCGCTGCGTAGTCGTGAGGAAAAAATCGGTAAGGTGCAGGACGTATAGTGTAATATGTAACTGGCGAAGGCAGTGAACGAAATCGTAAATCATTGTTCGAAAAAAATCAATTACGAACGGTTTCTTAGATTATATAGTATTAATAGCGGGTTTCACCCCCCCCGCCTTTCCGATGTAGCCAAGTTAATCGTCCGGAAGTCAACAGAAATACGAGCGATGTTTCGTCACTTTGTCAGTAGATTTATTTTGTTTTGGACTGCCGGGCATCGACAAACAGTATTTTTCAAATGGATGAAATTCCTTATGTTTTTAATATGGCACAATATGTAGACAATATTACAAGTCTGCGAGAAAATCGATCGTAATAATACCATAGTGGTTCGATCGTCGAAATGATGACGAGTAACATCGTCTCGGAGGTTATTTCCAAACAAACTACGTGACGACTCACGGAATGGAGTCGGGAAAAGACGGAGAAATGAAAAAACTGGAATAATGGTTTTTTCCCGTAGCCCGTCAATGCAAAGCGTTTTTCTACCCCCTCTCCCGACTTTAAAAATATTTAAAATAAATAATCATAAACCGTCTCGTGAGTAAAATTCGTTCGTGACATTGTGAAATAAAAAAAAAAAACCGAAAACCTCGAAAAACAACATAAGTATTCTCCGACGCGCGAAACTCTTTTGATCGTTTTGACGAGCGTCTCTGCGGACAGGGTTAAAACTAAAATAACGTGTTTGTCCTTACCTTGTGAGCCCCGACAGCATGCGCTCCGTCAAAAATGAACAGGTGATCGTTGCAGTCCAACTGCAAACGGTCGAAATGTATCATGAATCTTTGGAGGACGGTGTGCGTCTGGAACGTGGTCACGCAGTTCAAGTTCCGTTCGTTGTGCGAGTCTACCACCGCGCCGTCGATCTTTCTGTACACTTGTTGCAGAAAATGCGATTTGCATATCCCTTGCATTTCGACTGTAAAAAACACGTTAAAAATAAAAAAAAAATAAATAATAATCTGTTTTCCTTGTTGTTATTTATTAAAATAATATCGACATAATAATACACAGTGAAACATCTGCGGATACTCTCGGTCTCCTAAATTTTCTTCGCAATTCAAAGGTGTCCGTTTTTCAGAGTAGGTAACTTTTGGAATTTTTAAAAGAAAAATTTAATGGTTTTCCCATTTAAAGTAATGAAAATATCACCGTTCGCAAAAAACCGTCCACTAATTGGTGGTATCCGTTATAATATGTTTCATTGTATATGTACAGAGTGTCCAAATGATAACTTTTCTATTAATGTTCTTTTTTTTTTTTTTTAATCGGGTTTTTTTGTCAAGGGCACACAAATGTAGAGAAAAATTCAATTTTTTTTTATTAATTTTTGAAAATTTTGCAAAATAGCCAATTAGTAAAATATATTACCACCAACCATTTTACGCACTATATTTATATATTTGATTAGTAGTTTCTTAGTAATAACAGTGGCGTCGTTTGGAGATACAGTGGAGGTGTCCCCCCTCCTTTGTCACTAGTGGGCAGCAATCGGGTCAGGTACTGGCTAGTGCCGGTCTAGTTTTGTGCTGCAAGCCCCGTAAACATGATTCATGTCATTTGGATATATGATTTTATGATATACATTTAGTATACTCCGTACATATTGAAGAAAATAGGACATAAAGTGGTGTGAAATTTTCCTAAAACTGAATATATGTGTCAATTTACATATATTATATTGATTATTTAATTATTGCTGTTCCTAAAAAAAAATATTAGTTATTTATGCGTATGATAGTGTATAAAATGATGTAAAAATGGTATTTTTTGTATTGAGACAACATTCAATTGTTACGAATAAGTCGGCAAACGGAGCGATTTATTTTTTTTCTGTTTTATCAGTTTTAGTCTTGTTAAAATTTTTCTCCTCTCCCCCCCCCCCTGTTAAAAATTGAGTAATAACCGTTTTAATTTCTAGAAATTTGGTGTAAAAATAATTAATTTTTAATAGAATAAAACGTTACGTGATATGGAATCACAATCAGCTCGGTAATTCCTAATCTTCTATTGAGTATTAAGTGTTTTCACGACTCTTTTCTATTCTTTACTAAGCCTTTACTAAGCCGCTATAACTAAGAAATTATTAATCAGATTTGAATGTCAAATATTAAAAAATTATAATAATATTTTTTACAAAATATTTATGTTGAAAATTTTAAAAAGTGAAACAGTTATTTTATTTCTCAGTGATTAAGTGATACAAAAACAAATTAAGATTTTCTCCATATATCTGTTCCCTTGACACAAAACCTGATTGAAAACAATTTTTTTTTTAAACGAATATTGACAGAGTGATTAGTATTCCGATAACACTATAAACATGTATTATAAAAATTATTAAAATCCAAATAATATTCACGCAGTACCATATTATAGTATTACGGTATCATATTTGTAGGGCACTTTTCCCGAAACCTTATAGGGGTAATCGAAAAACCATTAGTTTGTGTCAATAACGTAAAACGAAAACCTATTATTTAACTGCTGAGAGGAGAACGTAGAAACCACGTCGCGCGGGTGGCGAGATTCTATGACGGCGTAAACAATGGAAATTTCGTCCTCTTCAGGGGACGATTCCAAGTTCGCGTACTGTTAAAAATTGTATAACATTATTAATTATATATAGGTGGTACTGTCATTTCATAAACAAATTGTTTATTTTTAGTTTTCAAACGACAATAATAACAATTGACGTTTAGAAGGTAAATCCGTTCGTATAAACTATAATTGACAATAGTTTCTCTAATCAACGATTTGCATAATAATAGTATTACAGTATAATAATCAACAAAATTAAAGAAAATATTGAGAAAAAAAAGTCATCCTAGAAAAATAAGGACGGGTGCAGCCATATGTAAAATACAATTTAAAGTACACATGTAAGCAACAATAAATCATTGCTTACGAAAAAACGATTCTGAGCCGTGTTCAGTTGATAGGGATGCTTTTTCAACTATATATGTGTCATAATGTAGTAATATAACTAAATAGGCTTTCTATATATTCTTTATTATATTTGTTTAATGTTGTACTGATTTTCCTAATTTTCCTACGTTTTTTTCTGTTCTTCAAATTTGATAAAAAAACTCCTGAAAAAATTTTAAAATTATCCTTTAAAAGTAACTTACTAGTAAAATTTCCTTTGAAAAACATTGCTATGATTAAAAGTTGGATCAAAATTATAGTAGAAAAGTTGTACATAAGAAAATAAAATAAAAATATTTTAGTAATATATTTCGTACATTTTCTCGTTTTTTTTTTATGATTTTCAAATTATATAAGAAAAATCTTGAGAAAATCGAAATATGACGTCATTAACGTACCTCCCCACGTCGATTTTCTTCCAGAAAAGGTGCTACACTTAGATATCTGAGTAAATCTTCCGGTAGAAAAGTTATTAACA